ACACGGGGCTCGAACTCACGAACCACAAGATCATGACCTGAGCTGAAGTCGGATGCTTAACTGACTGTGCCACCCAGGCACCCCTAAAATATTAATAAATATTTCTAAAACCCAATGGGATTCTCACTTTGGAGGAGCCATATGATTTAATGAAGAGTACAGACTGAATTAGCATACATACAGTATACCATGCTTGTCCTGACCCTCAAGTAATACTCAAGTAATAGTAGATACTCAAGTAATACAGACTGTCTTCCGGCCTCACTGATGATCAGTCTGTACTTCATGAGCATCCACTATCTGCAAGGCTAAACTGAAGCATTATAGAGAGCCATAAAATGGATCCTTTAAAGATTATCTTGTAATACGTACTGAGTATAGGTACTATGCTAAGCTGTTTAGTTGTATTATTTACAACCTCACAATACCAGCATAAAGTCAATACTATAATCATCCCCTTTTACAGATGAAGGAAGTAAAACTTAGTTTAGGCCACATATCCAAAGTCATACTGAATTCTGAGACAAAAGGAAAAACGTGTGCACCTGTAGGCACTTCTCAAATATTCTCCCATATTTTGACCAAGTGGAAAAATTAACTAAAAAAATCTACAATTAAAAAAAATGTTTTATGACCGTGTAAAGTTGTGGCCATGGGGGACATGATGCCATGAAGTCCCAGAAACCACAGGCAAATTGGAAAATACTACTCCTTGGACAGCATACCAGGGTCTCAAAACCGACAAACAACGGCTTATGCTTATTTGAGATTTTCATATTTTATTCATCATGCATTTTCTCTAAGTTTTGATTTTATTTATTTACTTAAAAATTATTTTAATGTTTATTTTTGAGAGAGAGACAGACAGAGCATGAGTGGGGAAGGAGCAGAGAGAGAAGAGGGACAGAATCCGAAGCAGGCTCCAGGCTCTGAGCTATCAGCACAGAGCCCAATGTGGGGCTCAAACCCATGAATCATGAGATCGTGACCTGAGCCGAAGTCAGACACTTAACCAACTGAGCCACCCAGGTGCCCCTCTAAGTTTTGATTTTCAAAAATATTTCATTAAAATATGTACCTTAATTACTGATTTTGAGGGGCAGTCCCTTAAAATTTGCATCTAAGGAGAGGACCTTGCTCACCTCACTCTAATCCTAGCTCCTACGTCACACAGCTAGTAAATGGCAAGAGCCAGGATTTTTAAAACAATTTCCTTCCAAAAGTCATGCTGTTAATGACTGCGATATTCAGCCTCATAAGAGTAGTAGAACAAACAGTCCTTGCCTTTTCTGCTTATAGTCTATTTGAGAAGAACAAATGCACGAGAAAAAAAAAATCAGGACCCACAGAAGAGAAATAAATGGATAATTACATTTTGGACAGGAGTTGGGCAAAATAATTAGGATGATGAGGGTTGGGCAGGGTAGTACTGAACCATGAAAAACTCTTCCTGTGTCCCTCCATGACCTTAATAACAAGCCTTAAAATAATTTGTGGGTGCTTTCCTGTTTTTGTACTATAATCAGAATTTCCAATGCAGAAAAGAGGCATTGGTACTATTTGACTTAGTGATATTACCTCATCTCTGGGCTGGCCTGAGCTCCAGGTCAGACCGATCTGTGAGGACCATACCACATGGCAGGCATTGAGCTATAGTATAGAGCTCATTCGATAAATTCTGTTAATTTTATCGATTGTTACTTCTTTATCTCCAAACTGCTTCTTATCTTCACACTTCCTCCATTTATTTTCCATCCAGTCAGTGCTGTCAAAGCAGGCTGCTTGCAAAGCTCCCCACGTCCACTTTTGTAGAGCACCAGAACAATATTTTTCCTGTCATTGCAATTGGTTGTCAGTTCTTTGTGGGTTGGCTACCACTTTATTTCTGATTATGGTGAAGACAATTGGGGTCAGCAGCTATCAGGTAGAAAGTGACAGTTTCATTTTCTGAATAGCAAGGCTTCCCACAGGCGTGGAAAGCTGACATTGTTTATAATGCCAGTCCGCTTTTTGTTTAAACATAAAACATTGCAAATACTAAAGAAGAGTATATTGAAAAGATGCATTTATAGAGATGTAAAGAAACATAAGCATCTAGGTTTTAGTCATATGCTTTTATCACTAACATTGAACTATTTGAACCTGATAGAGTCCTCTCCTTTTTTTCCTGATGTTTAGGAGAAAAATCATGGGTCTCTCCTTCTTCACAAACTTTAGAAACAAACACTCCCTCAGCACCTCTCTACACCCCCACTACCAACTTGTACTCACGGGTCCCAGATCTTGGTATAGTATACGTCTGAGGTTTTCTGGCCAACTGTTCTTTAATTATCCAGCTCAAATATAATCTAAGAAGTTTTCCAGGTCCATTTGCTCAGAATCAAACCGTTCTCCCTCTATGCTGCCATTTTTTTACATTTTTACTGAAGCTGTATTTCATAGCAGGAAATATATTTGATGTCGTTTTGTATCCCTGCAGGACCTAACACTCAAAACAGATTCACAGATGTTTGCAGGATTGAATTGAAATTTACACTGTAGGAAATCAGGGTGATACTTTGGAATGAAAACAGAATATTAGACTCTATTTAGAAGCTCCCGGAATAAGCCTGAAGGATTTCCCAGATGACTATACACTTGTGCCCCAGGACATAAACTGGAAAAACTGCTACTTGTCCCTTATCTACCAACTGCATTCCCACTAAACATAAACATCCTATGACTTCTTATTCATCATCCCATCATATACGGAAACCCTCAGTGCCCGCTGACAGATTAACCCTTTGTGTTTATTTGATGACCACTCATCAAATGCTACATCATGCTACATCAATGTTGGATACGCTATTTGCATCTGATGCCTTTCTACTTCAGTCTACTCACCACCCTGGAATGTAACTTCTCCAAATGCTAAGAAACCACTGCACGGACACATTGAACACAGCCATTGCATGGGGTCAGGTACACAGAGAAAATCATTTTTTAAATGATAACTGAGAATCCCAATGATAACCCTTGTCATGAGGGTCCTAACAGAATTAATTAGATTTTATAAAATTCCACACAGAAGACATGACTTTTGTTTTTCAGTGACCTCGACTACAATAATCGTAGTTTATAAAATCGTTTCCAGGGCTTAGTGCAGCCTCTGAAGTGGGAGCATTTTGCAGCTTCCTGGAGCGACTGAGTTCAGTCCAGTAGGTTCCTACACTCTTTACTTTGTCTTCACCACCTGCACTCTTGAACCTTTTTCTAAATTCCACATTATAGCACGTTTTAAAAAACAATTGTCTTATTAGGACTATTATTGCTCATTTAACAAAAGATTAAAAGATGATTATTGCTCATTTAATAAGAGATTAAATACTGGGGGTTGGGGGGGTGGTATTTATGTCCTCTGCAGACCTGTCACAGTCATGACTTGAAAAGCTGTCCTAATATGAGGACATTAGATGATTTCATATCAGGCTTGCTGAACCCCACAGCTGCCAACACTGTGGAGCACAGATGTAAACTAGAGGAGTAAATAGATTTTGACATTTAAAGAGGGAATGCACAGTAGGAATTTCATCAGCACATTTGCCAATACAATGTTCCCTTTGAAGAGAGATTTCTTCAAATCAAAAAGATCCCTCAAGTTGTCTGCATCATGGTGCATCCTTCAAAGTGACAGCATGGCTTGAGGTTCTAGAAGTTTAAGATTGCCTCGCTGTGTGACCTTAGGTGCCCTCTCTCTGTCCCTCATTTATCCTGAAGGTCCTGGCAGGATGCAGAGATAAGGTCTGCATAGTCTTCTTCATTTCTTTGAAGGAAACTGCTAGATAGAAGTTGTCTTCTCAGTTATCTGGTGATTGGTACGTAATGAGCTGCTCATTAACCATTTGAACAGCCAGCGTGAATTTAGTGACCATCAGTTTAATAGGAGTCCAATGAATAGGACTATGAGGGGAAGGGACAAAGAGAAACAGATGCGTTCAATTATTTATTCTCTATTGAGGGCCTGTGTTCTAAGTACTAATTAGATGCTACGGAGTTTTGAAATGAGGGGCACAGCTTTTTGCTCTGGAGAAGCTCAGTTGACACTTGCTTGGAAAAACAGATGACCCACCCTTTAGGTAAGATAAGAACACTATAGATCAACTTACTTGCCAGCATAAATCTCTACAGTCAAGCTTTGTTAAAGTATATTATTATTGATTGCGATTCAACTTGATTGTTCCCATTGGTAGTGAATTTGTGATAATTACAGTGGAATTCTTGCCCACTTGCGGGAAACAGGAATAGCGCAAGCAAGGTGTAGATAGTATACTTCCATTGCTGTAACGTTTAGTATAGCCAGTTCCTGCCCTCTTGAGACCATTTCCACTTTTCAACTTTTTTCTGCGATTGTTTGTTAAGAACAATTGAATTCTACTAATGATATGTGTAATGGTAGGAAGACTTGCATTTTAGAAACCAAACCTTATAAAGGGAGGAAAAAAGTGTTTGCTGATGGATGACAAAGAGACGCTGTAGCTGTCAGAAGAGTTTGAGAAAGTTATTTCCGAACATTTTTTTCTTTTCATCCTGACTATTCAAAAAATATCTGGACAGTGAAAGCTCGCCCGTAGTTTGCATTTTGAGGCCTCCTTGCAAGTCTATTATTTTGGGTTTGGCACATCCTCAGAGAAATCTTTGTATAGGAAGGGTCTAGTTTCCAAGATAGTCCATAAAAATTTAGGTAACTTATAATATGCATTATCATTTATGCAGATACAGTATTTTATAAATTGTATCAGCCATTACATCCATGGAGATCTAGGAGTTGTGCAAAAATTTTTAAAACCTGTGTTTGATGACAATCTAAAAATTAATCATATTCTGGATCATCTAAAGAAATACCCGATTAGGTGATTCTCAAAACTGTGTTTATGGTTATCTTTATTTTATTTTTTGTGTGTATTTGTTTTTGAGAAAGAGTATGATTGGGGAGGGGCAGAGAGACGCATGCGCATGCACACCCACACCCACACAGAGGATCCAAGCAGGCTTTCTGACAGCAGAAAGCCCGATGGGAGGTTCGAACTCATGAACCATGAGATCATGACCTGAGCTGATGCTCAACTGACTGAGCCACCCAGGTACCCCTTCTGCCTATATCTTATAAGCATTAGAGTTTGTCTTTCCCGATCTAAAGAAATGCTGTGTATTCCCCAGGATGCAGCAGCAAGGGTTCTAGGAAAAGGGGTTTCTCCCTCTGTACGTGTTGTTTATAAAACAAGTATTTGTGAGAAGGGGTTTCTGCTGGATGTGGCTCCTCTCCAGGGCACCATCATACTCTTTCCTCTCTGTAATCATGGTTTGGTATATAGCTTGAAATAGAAACTAACCTTTAGGAACTAATTTTTAAATTACTGTATTCATAGACCTGGAGGCTTGCTGAGTTAGAAGGAATCTTATGCCCTCCCTTCCCTCCCCCGCCAGTCCCCCACCTTCCACATAATGCCTGCTTTTCCTCCTGTGTGCTTCCTTCCCTATTATTACTTGTTATTCATTTTTATTTCATTAATATTTAAAGATCATTGCAGTTATTCACTGAAAAGGGCAACACTTACCACCAACCATGCAAAGGTGAACTCAGACGAAATTTCTGAGGAGATATTTTGAAAGCATGGTATTTCCAGAGTCTGATTTATCTGTACTTCTATTAAATGGCTGCTTCTCCGTTCATCCTGTGTAACTATAACAAAACATAGGTGGCAAAGACATGAACATGCGATTGGTTTCTGAAATGCTTTTTTATGAGAGAAACAGGAACAGTTTTACTATAGAGATTTATCCACCCTCAGGGCACACCTATGACAAGGCAAAACCCCACTAAGGTCCTCATTGTCTAAAAGGCAAAATAGAACCACTGAGAGTCACTGAAAATTTGCAGGAAACTACTCTTAAAGGATCCAACTCACAATCTGAAATGTTCCTCTGCTTTAGCCCCAAAGTTTGTGCTTTAGGTTTCAGATCATACTTTCTTGATCAGTCAGAATGTAAAACTTTATAACCTAACCTCGAACTGTCTTTTTAAACATCCGAATAGATTTAATTTTTTTGAGAGATGTTTTCGATCCATGGCAAAATGGAGTGAAAAGTACAGAGAGTTGCCATTGTCCCCCATGCGTGCACAATGTTCCCAGCTATTAGCACCCTTAACCACAGTGGTACATTTGCGACAATTGATAAAACTACATTGAGATATCATGATCACCCCCAAGTCTATAGTTTACTTACGTTAGAATTCACTCTTGGAGTTGTACATTCTATGGGTTTTGATGACTGTCTAATGACAAGTTTTTACCATAGTAGTGTCACACAGAATAGTTTCACTGCCCTAAAATTCCTCTGTGCTCCACCTATTCGTCCCTCCTTCCTGCCAAACTCTGACATCCACTGATCTTTTTACCGCCTTCATGTCTAGCTGTCCTTTTAGACCTTATAAACCTTCCTCCAAAGAGAGGATGATATAGAAAAATACACGAGGAAACTCTAAAGAAGCATTGTTAATGGATTTTCATTTTTAATGTAATTTGAGATAAATGTCAGTTTCATAGCCTCTCTTTGGGAAAGTGTAGACACATTTGTAACTAAACTACAGTAAGATCAAAAAACAATTGATAAATGGAAAGAACTCTATCATACTAATATCCTGAAAATCTTATTGTTTCCATGTCTATACAAATCTTGTTTATATGTATATGTTTTCTCATACTTTGCAATCCTCTTAACTAATAAACATTACTTAAAATGTTTTGCATGATTGTATTTTTACTTCAAATGTTTTGCATGATTCTTAAACAATTTGTAGCTAAAATTTTCAGAGACTTTATGTCATTCTGTCACTTATATACAACATCATTTGTTTTGTCATTTCCAACACATTGGATTGCGTGTTCTTTCAGTGTGGGGTTTTAGTTTAAACTATTATAATCTATATAGCAAGGATCATCCTTATACTAATAGCTTTCCCCTGACCACTCAGCTTCTTAAAATAAATTCCCAGAAGTATAATTAATGGATCATGGGGTATGAGCACTCTCATTATTAT